TAAGTTTCCATTGCAAAGGACTAATTTAATTTTGTCAGAGTCAATTTGACTCGAGATCTTTACCTCAAACTGCCATTATTCCAGGACTACCCACTGGTCTCTAAAGCAAAGATACCTCGAGATTTGCATAATCGCAGTTAAGGTAAAATGAGGTAAATGTCTCGGACACTCCACCCAACTTTGCTTTTGGATTGTGCTCCTGAAATGTGGTTGTCTGGACCTCAAAAAGTCCCCAGCTCGTTATTTGTTTGTTTGTTTGTTTGTTTGTTTACTATAGTTTTCACCACCCCCATTCTGGAGCAAAGAAAGGGGAAAAACTTGCCTCTTAAGAAAACAGGAAAAACACGTATGTCGGGGAGACGTATCTGAATTCTTACCAAGTTATCCAGTTCGGGGTTAGAAGANAAAGTATTTATTCTGGAGATAAAGTTATTTCAAAAAAAATATTTTAGGCTTTGAAAGTCAATCTGCTGGGCTAAGAGAACTGTTATATTATGGTGATTTCTCACTTCTACCCAAGTCCCATAAATTTCCTTCACTTTCTATAAGCAGATGGCCAGTTCAAGGAGACATGGCAATGATTTTTATTCCCTCCACTAGATTCTGCAGTAAAATGCGCCACTGTTACACCTTCTACCTGACACACACCTAACCTCTTCCAGAGCAGCAAGCATTCCCTCTTAAAGTTGCCTAGTTTAACACATGCGCTCATGCGCGCGCACACACACACACAAGTTAACTAAAGTGTGCCCATACAATCATCTTCCTTTCCCAATGTAGAAGGTTCCTTAGAGAAAAGGTCGGGTGTCACTGAGGCTCCCTGCCACCACTGAATAGCAGCAGACCAGTGATACCAGAGTCACAAAGGCCTACTCAAGCCTCAAAGGCAGAGCAAGACCTGGGCCACTTGCTCTCCCTTATTCCTTCTTTTCCCGCTGGGCGGGTGTAGCAGAGAGCAGACACAATTGCTGGCTTCTTTGGTGCCTTTCTTCCCTCTTCGGTGCTTTTCCCATCCCTGCCCACTTGCCCCATTGTCTTCCTTGGACACGGCCTTCAGGGCATGACTAAACCTCAGCGGGAGGCCAAGGGAAGCATAGGGTGACCTCTGCCTGCCTCCAAGCTCTGTTGCTTACACTCTTCTCTCTCTCCCCACCCCCACCCCAAGGAGCAAAAACCTTCCTCAGCCAGCCTCCCCCCCACCAAAAAACCGACGTCCTTCCTTCATCCCTAACTTGCTCACGACCCGCCCTTAAACACCACACGCTGTTCGCCATTTCGTAGGCCTCCGGGTACCTTTCCCGGGGAGGAGTGGGTGAAACCGGGACGCCCCGAGCGTGGAACCGAAGAGGCTGCGAACAGAGGACCTAAGGAGGAATAGCGGGGGGACGGGGAGAGGGTGCTAAGCGCTTTCCCCCCCGATACTCTGTTAGGCCCGTAAGCCCGCCTTTTTCTGCGCGGCCGCGGGAGCCTATCGGCTCCAACCACCTCATAGCAAACAGCCGTCTGATTTTTCCCCTCACCCCGAGGTAAATCTCGGCCTGCTTTCAGCGACGGGAGCTATACCCATACACATATATACATAGCCACAGCCATAGGTGGGGCGAGCGTGGTGTTGGGGTAGTTCATTCACTCTAACGTGAGGTGGCGGGTGGCGGAAACGTGTTAATTTATGTAGGCCTGTGGGAGGAGGGGGGAAGAGAGGAAAGCTTCAGAGAACTGCTTTTCAGGACAAGGCTATCCGCTCACGCAGGGCAGATATGTAGGCGCCCTCGCAACCTCTTGCTGGAAGTGACTCCGGCTCTGCGCCCTTGAGCGTCTCTTTCGGTCTTCGGGTGTCATTGAGGGATTCAGACGGCCGCTTCTTTCGTTGTTTTCTGCCGCCCACCTCTCCCCACCAAAGCCCTGCCGGCTTCCACCGGCTTCCCCCTTGAACGCCTTTCTCCACCTGCGCGTCTAGGAAGGCCAAAGAATTACTCCAGCAAGCAAAAGTGGACTCTCCAACCCCACCTTAAGTCTTAAACCCGGCCGGCGCTCGCTTCTTCAGAAAGGGCCGTGAGCACCGTTGAGCAGAAGGGGGCGCCAGCCGGCGCAGAACCCGGGATCGGTTGCCCAGGTCTCTGAGGTTGCCGTTGGCTGGAGGCTTGGCTAGAAGGGCGGCCAGCCGTCTTCGCCTTCCCTGACAGAAAAAAAATGAGGATTCATTTCTCTCTTCTCCCCCCAAACCCACGCCTGGTTCGCTTTTGTTCCCCGGGGCTACTAAGGCTCTGCGACAGGCAAAGGAAGATGACCAAACTCTGGAGACGTGAAGAATGAATTGGCTAGCGAGCCCGGGCGGTTCGCAGAATACCGAAGGGAGGCTTGAGTAACTCCTTTTATTCAAATACCCACGCTTTTGCTTTGGCTCTCCGTTTTTATTCCTTATTTTTGGCCACTATACGTAAATTAACTGGGTCTGGTGTCCTACAGCAATGTTTCTCAATCTTGGCGACTTTAAACTCCTGTGGACTTCAACTCCCAGAATCCCCCAGCCAGCTGGCTGGGGAATTCTGGAGGGTTGAAGTTCACAGGATTTAAATTCGCCAAAGTTGAGAAACTCTGTCCTACAGTAAAGGGACCTGTCATCCACAGGCCAGCCTAAAAACAGGCAAGGCGACCTGCTGGAAAACTGGTCGCCCACATTCGTATCAAAGAAAAGAGGGGAAATTCTGTCTCCGTCAGGGGTGAGGGGAGAAAGGGCGCATTTTGAGGAAACGAGAGACCAAGCCTTGCGGGTTATCGCCGAGGAACGCGCGCCGTAGCCTTCGCAACACAGGCTGCGAAATGGGCAAACTACCGGGCGGCGCAGGCGCAGTACGTGGAGCACGGGGCCAAGGGATACTTGTAGCTTCTCCGCCGGCCTCGGAGGTCTGGCAGGCGAAAAGCAAGGAACCTTCCCCCAAGGTGGGTTGGGTTTTTTTTTAAAGGAAGGAAGGAGGAAATATTCAGCCAGGCATTAACTTCTCTGCTTGAAGAGACCAAAGAAAAAAGAAAAAAAGAGGAGATGGCCCATTAAAGCTCACATGAGCCGCTATAAACAAATATCGGAAGGTTTTTAAAAGGTATCAATAAGCGTACGTGTGTGCGCGCTCGCATATTTGCCGCGTCTAAACTTTGGGGAAGTTTATTAACATCTTGGCGATGTAGAGAATGAAAGAGAGGTGCGGGTGAGAAGGAATTGAAGGGGGCAACTCAAGCTCCCGGTTTCTTTCCTTGAGCACAACAACAACAACAAAACTCACATATTTTGCTTCCGCTTTAACAAAATAATGATTCATTGGGAAAATGGGGCATAAATCTTCATTTTGGACGCAATTAAAGTGTTGATTTCATTCATGCCCCTAAGCGGTTCTTGTAATTTGCTCAAATAGCTTTATGTACGAAGCACTCTGAAGCTTTTAGAAACCTATTTTCTCGTTAGACTTGTTGGATTACAATTTTGATTCCACAACAGCCCTCTTCAACTACAGCCCGTGTTTCAGCGATATCTACGGGGCGGGGGGCGCGCACGAGACCCCCCCACCAAACCGCAGCCACCTTCCTTCCAAGGTCTAAAAAGTCAACAGAGACCACTGCCGGCCCACCCATGTATACATGCAAGGGAATGAGATCCCGACAAGCAAAATTACAACCGACTTACAAATCTTCCATTGCTCATTGAATATTTTTCAAAAACGGGCATTTTGTCCAAGAGCTTCATAAAAATCTCATGGCTGCCAATCAACACGTTGCTTCATCTTCTGTATCATCCCCAGGAACGGACACCAGCCATCAAAAAGAGGAAGCAACAGATGAAGAGCACCTTGAACCGAACTGAGACATAAAATCGCCTTAATCAAGCCAACAACATTCTGATCAATGCCTTCTCAAAACAAGAGCTCTGCCTGCTTTGATTTCCCGCAGAACTAAACAAAAAGTCTGTCTAGAGCTACAGTCCAATGGCTTTCAGAAGTTTCAAACATAACAGATCATAAAGAAGCAAGAAAGTTGGGGGGGGGGGTTCTGTTTCTTTTCAAAGGAAGCAGTAATTGCAACTAACCCACCGGCATTGCCCATTATTGTCACTTTCCGCGACGCGCTATAATTGTAGCGTTAAGGAGCATTGATTAGTTAATATCACTTCTCCGTTTTAAACCAAAAGGATACTTTTGTTTTCCTTTCAAAAGAAAACACACCTTATTCCAGCGAGACAAGAGTCCAGGCATGAGCACGGGGGTGAAGTTGGAAGATTCAGACGCGCCCCGCATAGATTGCGCAGGACCTACTCTTAAGACTATTTAGATACCCCAACTAAGGGGGCAGCCAAAGAGGCAGAGATGACACAGAGCAACCGCAACATCATTCTTTCCCTCACTATCTTTTGCTGCTTCTCCTGAATTTATTATTTCTTTTTCTGCTAAATCCAATAAAGCCCAATGCCCTTTCAGCAGGCAATCTTCCTACAAAGCAATGCTCACTGAGGTCTAAAAGCGGTCGGCCAAGGAAAACTGACAAGACAGGCTAATGAACCGTAGAGACAGGAAGAAAATAGCCAACGTTTGCTAGATTTCAAACCTTCTCTTGTCTTCTTTCCCCAGACCACCAATCTCGGATTTAACTCTTCCTCTTCTCCCCCCCCCTCCCACCCCTTTTCTAGCATCTCACCGGAAGCCCCACGATTCACAAGTAGAGCCTTCTATTGTCATTAAAAAGGAGAGTAAATAAAATAAAGACAAAAATTAAAAGCGACAAGGAGCAGGTCAAGTTTGAAGGCAATGCTTTTACAAGCTCATTTCGCCAGGTCGAATCCCGGAACAAGACTTAATGAAGTAATAATAGCCACATTATTCAAAAATTTTCATTTCGATGGAAATTTATCCAAAAGGGACTTAATCATATGCAAATAATAAAAGGGGGCGTAGTGACCCGGCAAACGATCTGCATACAGATTTGCACAGCAATTGCGAAGCTGGAGATGACCATACCTGATCTGTTAGGTTTGCTGATCTCGTTATGTCTTCGCTGTCTGATTTTGATCCGCCTTCTCTATCGTCTATCACCAAATCGATTGGCATTTTCCCTTTCAAACAGCTAATGTACCGGTGGCAGAAATTGTCACACAATTCGTGTACCTGCATTATGACAAAGGTAACAACACCAAAATATAATCAAGGGCATGTTAAGTGAAATTGACAAGAGCAATCAATTCCCCTCCCCCCACGCTGACATCAAAAGTTCTAAATAGGGGGAAACAGACTGCAATTATTCCCCCGAGACACATTCAGAATTAAGAAGAACTTTCTTTTTCTGGCAAAATAGAGATATCCCAGAAAATTGACAGTGACAAGATGATTCACAGCCTACAACATATTCAACACCCGTGTTAAATTCATCTGCTCTCAGAGCTGTGACTATTAGTGAGGTAGCCTGCATGGATGACATTTAAGGTAAACTCTTTAATTTTACCCCTATAGCATCACAAGCCTTTTCCCAAGGAGTCTGTGGACAGCAAAGGATCCCTTGCTCCAATTGTACAAAAAGTTGAATGATCTAAAAGTATGTGAATCCACAACTTCACATTCGGAGCTGCTGTAATGTTTTTTTCCACTGCGAACATGCTCATGTTAACCATTTATTGCAAGGCACAAGCAGGCCACTTGCTACCATAAATATCTTATATATGTGTATATATATGTATTAAGGGTAAAAAACAATATTCCAGGAGGCCGGGAAATGTTTCTAGTCCAGTCCTTCTTTGAAATGTGCTTGGGTTCCATATTATTATTATTATTAGTAGAACACATATTCAGATTGATCTGTTGACTGCCTTCTTGGGAAAAGAAAGAGTAGCCCCCACAAAAGAAACAAGAAACTGACACAGCTAGCAACTCTGGCTTGTTTCTGCAAAATGTTGCAGGACAAACTGTGCCCTGTGTGTGACCCTGCAGATGGCTCTTTAAAAGAAAGGGGGGAGAGGGGGGGACCCTGAAAAACTAACTGAAAACTAAAGTACCTGGATAGAAATAGCTATCCTATGGAAAGAATCACAAGCCGAAAGACAAGCATCCTTCTAAAATATTATCCAATGCATTTGTGCAAAGGTAATAAAAAGAGATACAAGGCCAGGGCATTAGTGATCCAGATTTTTAGTGGCTGAAATTGTAATTAAACTGCAATGAGAAATGGATGTCATGATTGGTTCTGACACTAATTACCAAAAGGAAAGACATTTATAGAAATTCTGCTGTAGCTTCAACTTTATGAAATATTATTAGGTAGGGGGTGAGGAAAAGAAAAAGAGAGAGAGTTACCTTCTCTAATTCCAACAGATGAAACCTTAATACTTGTATGGCTTGGATCATCTGTAAAAATACAAAACAATGTAAGTCTCTGTCCCTGATTTTAGGGCTTCTCCAATACTTCTCTTCCCATTTACTATCCAGGAGTCACTGTATGTACATTCTTGTATATGCAGCCGTATGGCCTTGATGTGTGTGAATATTTTGATTTATTACAGCAACACTAAAACTTAAAAGCCATCTTTCTGCAGACTGTTTAACAAAAAGAAAGCTCCGATTTTTACTTTTGACCGCTGTTGCAATGAATTGGCCAAATTACACGGATCATAAATATTTCTTTAGCAAACGGTAATGTAGATAGTAATATTGCTGGTCCAGTAGAGCCAAGCAAATTTAGGAAGAAGGCTGAAGAGAATAAGTTTCCATTGCAAAGGACTAATTTAATTTTGTCAGAGTCAATTTGACTCGAGATCTTTACCTCAAACTGCCATTATTCCAGGACTACCCACTGGTCTCTAAAGCAAAGATACCTCGAGATTTGCATAATCGCAGTTAAGGTAAAATGAGGTAAATGTCTCGGACACTCCACCCAACTTTGCTTTTGGATTGTGCTCCTGAAATGTGGTTGTCTGGACCTCAAAAAGTCCCCAGCTCGTTATTTGTTTGTTTGTTTGTTTGTTTGTTTACTATAGTTTTCACCACCCCCATTCTGGAGCAAAGAAAGGGGAAAAACTTGCCTCTTAAGAAAACAGGAAAAACACGTATGTCGGGGAGACGTATCTGAATTCTTACCAAGTTATCCAGTTCGGGGTTAGAAGAAAATAAGGGTTTTTCTGCTCGTATCTAGACACAGGGTAGAAAAGTCCGGGCGAAGGGATTAAAAAAAAAGAAGAAAGAAAAAGCAGTTTGAGAGACCAGGACAACTCGGTTGTATTGCGCCGTTACCCTTGCTACATTACATCGCACCCCCTCCCCATACTTCCACCCCCACAAACCCACCCCCAAGACTGCCAGGCTTTGCCGAAAGGCTCAAGCAAAGGTGCCCAGCGCGCTTGCCAAGTCTGCCGGCAGCTGTCCGCTGCGCCTCCGTCCCCATGCACCAGCAGAGACCCAGAAACTGGCAGTCTTCTTGGGAAAGTGGCCAGGAGGGCGAGGGGGGGTGTAATCGAAACCCTAGGGCGACCCTTCAAGTCAATATGTGGGCCGGAGGGCTGCCCTCTCTTCCGGAGAGAGGGGTGGGGGGAGAGCCGGGGCGAGAGGGAGTCGAGGGGCTGCGAGAAATGAAGGCAAGGCGACAAGGGCTAGGAGGAGGAGGAGGAGGCGGGCGAACCGTCCTCGTTCTTCCCGGGAGGGTCGCCCAGGCCCCGAGGAAGCGCGCCATGGATCAGGGGCCCTAGCATCGGGTTGTTGCTGACCTGTTTCGCGAACACGGCTATATCTTCGTTGAAAGATTCGGAAGAACAAACGTCGCCTCCCGCTACCCCGGGCTCCCGGGGCGTGCACGTCGCTAGTTCACATTTCTCAAAAATCAGTGCTAAGAGTGGGAAGAGGGGATGTCTGAAATGGGGGAGGAAAAAAGGGTAAGAGTCACCAAAGCAGAGACCCCCGTGAGCCGCGCGGGCTCCAAGAGGCCGGGCTTCGGGCAAAGCCTGGTCTCCGTCGGGGAGAAGCCACCCACCCACTCCCCGCAAGTGAACTTTCCAGCCCCGCGCACTCCAAAGCGCCTAGCCCGGCACAGCCCGCTGTCCTCCCTTGCAGAACCAGGAACCTGGATCCGAGCCCTGGTTCCCAGTCTGGGTTGCCCATCTGAAAGCTGGTCAGAGGACCTGAGCAGCGTTAGCTAAGGCTATTAACCAAATGGATTTAGCAGCCATTTTGAATCCGCTTCCCCCCCGCTTTCCAGTTTCGCCCCCCCCCACCCCCACATGCACTTTAGTTCTGGGATGGGGAATGAGAAATTAGCCTTGGGATTTATTGTAATTGTTTTCAGGGGGAGCGGGTTAAAGAAAGGTACTTGGGTAAGCTAAATTGTCAAAGTTTCCCCATGGGGTGGGGTGGGGGAGACAGAGAAATAAAGGTTCCCTGAAAGGAATTTGAACTGTTTATATGTGGATCACCAGCTCTTCCTCCCAGTTGGATCTGGAGATTATGCTTTTCCTTCACAAACTCAGTAAGGTAATGCAGACTTATTACTGGATGGAGCATGTGAAGGTACACTGCGGAACCAGTGACTTTTCACATTTTAAACTTTATTTTTAAGGTGTTAATAGGTTATTATTCACTAAGTCAACATCGTGCTCCTTTCATCTGCAAGTTTCCCATTCACCTTCCCTCCTAACCTCTTTGGGGCTGCAGAACTGAAAGTAATGGAAACGCAAAGGGGTAAAAGTATGGTATTTAAATATGCAACATTTCTTCAGATTCCCGCAAATAGCAGTGGTGACTATAAAAGGCAAATTCATCCGAAGTTATACTGGAGGAATAAGTTAAGCTGCACACTTAAAAAAAAAATTTTTTAAAAAAAAATCCCACACCAGAGGAGCTCCAAACATTATCTAAACACAATTTGGAGGAGGGGGTGTAGGAGGAATTGTGTAATTAATCCCGAAGATTTCCTTTTAAAATTGAATTTAAAGGAAGCTGTCAAGTTGTTCTTTAAAAAGACTTAGTATAGGAAGAGGAAAAGAAAACATACTTTATTTCTGTATAAATGTAATGAATGCATATTGCTTAATACTTCATAAAAATAACTATTTCATAGAAACTTCTATTTATATTTAATTTTATTTATTTTCTCCCATAAAGTCTTTCTTTTTCTTTCATTTTCTTTCACTTTCTTTCTCTTTTTCTTTCTTTTTCTTTTCTTTCTCTCTATCTCTCTATTCTTTTTCTCCACTTTTCACATGACTTCACAGCTTATTGCAAAAAGTTGTAGCCAAAACAACCAAAGGACAGTTTCAATCCCGCCTTCAACATATTGAAGTTACTAAAAAAAAAAAAATGGGGAGAAGGGTCTTTCTTTCTGCACAAACCTTTCCATCTCTTAGGGGAAGGGGAGGCAGTCTAAATTTTGCAAAGTGACACATGCATTTTCTTTCCAAAACAATTAATTTCTCTGAATGGGGGAAACGTTTATTTGAGGTCCAACAGAGGTTAGTAAGAGCCCCAGTAAACCCCAGTAAAGGACTCCCACCATGGCACATTCACCCCCATTCTACAGCTTTCCTAGTTTGAGACTAGGCTCTATAGTGGGCAATAAGCTCCATTTGGCCCTGGTCACCGGGTAGGTAAGGGTGATGTGGGGGAGGGGGACAACCAGGGAGAAAGCAGCACATTTCCCAGAGAATAAAACTGATGCTAGCTGTACCTACCCATAAATTGCATCTTTATCTCTCTTTAAAGCGTCATTGACAGAGGAACCCATGCTGGGGGGCATGGCGTTAGTGTGGGCTGTGTGCGGGTATTGATGGGAGTGAAGCGGAGGACCATGGTTCAAGTGGTGGACAGGCTGCATGGATCTGGCGGCATGGGGGTCCCCGTACATGGTGCTTGGAATCCCCACTCCATCCATCCCACCGTAATGGGGTAAATCGTCGTACTGCATAATAAACAGGAGGGAAAAGAAAAAAAAATGGGTCAAAAGGAAGGTCGATTCCGAAGTGCAGTTTATGTAGGGGTGGGTGAGAAAAGAGGAAGCAACTTTGTGTGCCAGGGAGTTGAGTTGGAAAGAATGACTTGTAAGTTAGGGGAGATGGCAACAAATCAGACAACAGGAAAAGGCCTGGCTTTAGCTGTGAAGGTTTCAACTCCCCCTCCCATCTTTATTATTATTATTATTATTATTATTATTATTATTATTATTATTATTATTATTATTATTATTATTATTATTATTATTATTATACAATTATTATTATTATTTACTTTATTATTATTTACTTTATTCATTAAACATGAAACTCAGCCAACTGAACATTCAAAAATGCATTAAAAATACCAGTGACTGGTGCTAATGGTTGATACGGTTTGCTGCCAGCGTCCTAGGTATCAACCAAGTACCTTCTTAAAATATAAGATGTTCCAAGTAGCAGTTTTTTGCAGTTCCACTGGTGTTATTGCAGGAAGCTGCAATTTGTTGATGTATCTTGTAAAATTCCCCTATTATGATGATGATGATGATGATGATGGTTATTATTATTAATATACATGCCAATTAATTTTCCAGTAGGCCATCACAAGTATGTATATCCTTTCTGGGGCACAACAATCTTATGGAAAGGAAAAAGTTAACAGGCGGATAGTAGACTGGCTGCTTTAAAGTCCAATTCATCATAAATGCATGCTGAAAAGCTGCCTCATTCAGTAGGCTTCCCCAGCAGAAGTTAAAATGAGGACACCTATTATTAACACTTGCATTAAGATAGTCCTCCTTTATTTTTACAAGATTTCCCTGTGGGCATCAGTTGTGCATGCAAGCAGCACCAAGTGGAGAAGACCTTCCTTGATGTTGCAAAGACACTCTAAGGTACGGTGCACAAAAATAGAAAGCTCCATTTAGAATGGCTCTTAGAGAAATTTCTTGGAGATTCTTTCCTTTCTAGTCTAAGGAAAGGATAAGAAAAGTAAAGTTAGGTTTGGGGGTATTTTTGTATAATTAATAAAAAGAATAGTTGGAAATCAGTCCTTCAGTTTTCAATTTAATTTTCTACTGTTGAGAAGTCACATGCACAAATATCAGACTTCAAATATATTTGGGACAGTTCTAATCCCGTGTATTTTATTGAGGAAAAGGCAGTGTTTTTTTTTGTAACGTGCTATATAGTCCTGTCCCTATTCTAAAGTTTTATCTGCTGACTGGCTTTGCTTCTGCTGCCGGCACACTAAACTTAAAATACTTTTCCTCCTGAGTAGCAGAAGCCGAGAATGTTAGAATTCCTCAGGTGAAAGGATGTGTGTCTGGGGGTCAGGAATATCACACTTTGCCATTTCAATTTCTTAAGGGCAAATATAACTAAAGCTCTTGACACTACTTGAGCTGTAAAACTAAATGCAAGATAAACAATCGGGTAACTTTATGGAGGATACGTTAGGGCCACCGAATGAATTTAAAAGTTGCAATGTCTTCTAAATACATTTTTTTTGGCTCTACTGCTCTTCAAAAAAATCTCAGTACTTATGTAGTTCAGAAAACGTCATTCTGATGAAGTTTCATATCAAGGAATTAAATAATAAATTCTAGCTCTAGGTACACGTGTGTGTGTATAATTTTGTCTCTTGCCCTAATTGTGGGAACAACATCTTAACTATGGTCCATGGACTTCTCTAAATAAATCCTTACAATAGTTTTAAAAGTTATTTATTATTTGTGAAGATATTATTAGCATATCTGAAAAGGCCAAAGACAAATTTAGAATCCCTAAACTGAAAGCAATATTAAAAGGACTTAAGTTCTGTTTCAAGGCAGCGTTTAGACAGGGTTTCTTTCCACTAAATGACCCAAGCGATATGAATTAACAGGACCAAGGAATTCTTAATATACATCTATCTTTAAGGAAAAATCTGTCCCTAGGTCTCCCCAACCGAACCATGCAGTTATTAAAATATTTGAATTTCTCAAAACAGCGGTCCATTTTATAAAATATCTTAATTTACTCCTCCCCCCCCCCTCCGTGCGTTTTAGAAAATGCAAAACTCTCCCTCCGGCCTCATAACGCCTCTAAGATCCGTTTTGCTAAATATTATGTTACTTGGAAATTATGATTAAAAAAATACGTACCCTTTGCGCCATCGGCCTGCTTCTCACCCTTCCTTTTCAACTTCTAATATATCCTCTTTAGGGCCAGTGTGAAAAGAAACAAAACGCGCTCCCCACTCCCTCCCTCCCTCCCACCCAACCCCAAAATAAAAGGAATAAAGGAGAATCCTTTAAAGTCGCCAGTCGCTTGAGCAGCCGATCGGGAGAATCTTCAGCCAGATGGACCTCAGAGAAGCGGCGCGAGCATTCAGCATTAAAAAAAAAAGCGGAGGGGGAGAGAAACGCGCTCTCGCTCGCTCGCTCGCTCGCTCTTCTCCTTTCTCCTTTTCTTCCTTTCTCTCCCTCCTGCGTCTCTCACGCTCTTCCCTTCTGGTTTCCAAGACAGCGATGGGGGAGAAAGGAAATATCCTTACCCCCAAATCTGTTTTTTTTTCCAAAAAAAAAGTGCCTCTCAAACCCAACTACCAACTCGCATGACTTTTTGCCACTCCAGCTGTCAATCAAAGGCGAGCTTGTCAAGGTGGTGAATGAATGATGAGACTCCGCTGTGTGTGCTTCCAACTGGTCAGGACACCTCAAATGTTAACATCAAAAGCATAAGAGGTCTAAAAGCTTCCTTTCTTCCTTTTTTTCCTCCTCCTCCTCCTTCTCCTCCTCCTCCTCCTCCTCTCCCCCTTTCTCTTTCTCCCTCGCTTGATTCAGTCCTAATTCCTAATCAGATTTTCTCTCTTTCCTCCGAGCAACTGGAGAAGCCTAGAGGAAGGTTAAAAAAAAAAGGCTGTCTGAGTTTGCTTTAAAGGAGCCACGATCGATGCTGCCTGCTGCAAGTCCCCTGCGCGTGTGTAAAGTGTGTGTTGCACACAGGCGGAGAGGTGGATTTGGACCAGAATGCTGGAACCCGGAAGTAGTGGTGGCCATAACAGGTCGCGTCTTACACAATGCAGCGGGCTGCATCAACTAAGCTCGTAGCGCAGGGGTGGGTTGGGTGAGCCGCAAGGCAAGAAAGAGGGCTGGGAAGAGCTGCACGGAGAGGCTTCCCCATTAACAAAACACACACACACACACACACACACACACACACACACACACAAGGACGCTGGCTCTCGCTCTCTCGCGCGCGCGGTGGCTAAAAGAAGCGAACAATGAGCCGAGCCTCGGAGCGCAATTCGGAAGAGTTCCAGCCTCTCCCCCTTCCCTTCCCGCTTCTTGGACTTCTTTAGCGGTGCCAAAGACGAGCGAAAAGGGGGCTCCCGTCACTCTTTAAACCCACCCCAGTGTGGGTTTCTTTGGCCCGAGTGTGTGTGTGTATGTGTGTGTGAGTGTGTTTGAAAGAGAGGGGGAAAGAGAGAGAGAGAGTTGTACTGGAGATCTTGTTTTCGTCGCCGGCGCTTTGGCCGTTTTAGTGTTTCTTCCTTTCCTTACAACACCCACCGTAGCAGGCTTTCTTTCCCCTCTTGTAGTTTGTATTTATTTTTCTTTATGACTTCAGAGGCATCGATCGATCGTTATTCTGGTTACGCTCATCAAACGACACCAAGGGGACTCTTCTGGACAAACACACACTCACACACACACACGGCAGCTGTCTAGGGTAGAAGATCGCCCCTTTGTCCCTCCTCTCCCCTCGGCCCCGCGTCGCATCTAGGACATATCCAGCAGCGATCCACACTGCTGTTTAGCAACCTCGGAGGCTAGTAATGGCCATTTCCTTTGTCTAGCAATAGGGTTTAAGTTCCATGTATTTCCCCCGTTCCCTAAAAACAACGGCAAGACAGAGCGCCCCGAAATCGCAAGGACTTTTCAGCGACTCGCTTTGCTTTCTTCGGCACTGTTTTCTTTGCCCCTATACAAAAGGGAGATCAGTTAATAGGACAAAAAGCCCTATTAAGGGGATGGGTCTGGGCTGATTGGCTTGCCTTGCGATTCTGTGGTCCACAGCCAGACGTTTACACAAGGAGTTGTCTCGAAACTGCAACATCTCTCGCCCCCCCACCCACCCCGAACAGAGATCTCTGTGAGACCGAGTTTTCCCCCGCCCCCAACAGACTCTGCTCGGTTCCCTTCCTAAGCTTTTAAAACCCCACAGAAGGGGAGGGAGAGAAAAAAAGCTCCCCCTCCGAATGTTAGAAAATGAGCTCACCCAAACCTCAGCAGGCAGCAGTGGAGGAGCCGTAGTCCAATCAGGATCTTTTCTGCGAAAGCCAGGCGAGCATTAGTTGAGGGAGAAATCAATTATCAAATAATCGATCAGCAGGGAGCTTCGATCTGCGGGGAAAGTCCTCGCGCGGCCAATCTTTCCCAGCCTCGTCCAAGAGGGCCGAAGCTGGAGAAGGCAGCGGAATTGTTCATTTGTGGTCGCGCGTTAGAACTTACTCAGCGAGATAAATAATACTAATAATTAATAGTTAATGATGAGCACGGTGATGTCACCCTGTTTTCGCCCAAGGAAAAAAGAAGGGAAAGAATTGTATAAAAGTTTCTCTCTTATTTAACTCTTTAATATGCTTAATGCGTGAAGTCTGGCTTCATATCCCTTCACGAAGAGGGAGAAAATCACATATACTCTCACTTTTAACTTCTGGCCTTTCTCTTACTTTTTATAAAGAGATTTCCTATGGCGCCGAGTAGTTCCAATGAAGCAGCCTCCGGGACTGTGGGTATCGCACTCAGGTCTGGCCTCGGGCCTTCTTGGGCGAAGGGTATTAAAACCAGCAATCTGGCAAGGAGTTTCCAACGTCAAAGGGGCTGCTAGCCAGTGGAGATATCACGAAGCAATCCCCGGCCTGAGTTTTGTTTTGCTATTATTGTTCCAATACTTTACTCGAGCTAGAATTAAGAAAAATCTGTATCCTGGGAACTATAGTAAAGTTAGGGGGCACTTAAACTCTGTCAATAAATTCAAATAGAAGGAAATCCCGGGCAGTTTGGGCCAAACCTATTTTTGACTGAAAGTGTAACCTCTACAGAAAGAATCCGCGGTGGCAGCAAGAGCACTCTCCAATTTAAGCTTATCTCTCCTGCTTGCTGCGATTTATGATTATTATTTTTTGGCCATAAAATGTGGGTTTTAAGGCTGAGGGGGGAGATCACGATTTTCCTCCCTCCCCCCCCCCTTCCAAGTGAAAGAATGCGATGTGTAACGGCAACAAATTATTGCCCTTGTATTAGCTGATGATGAAGATACCTAATAAATCTGTTTTCTTTGCTCATGATAAGGTTTGGTGTTTGGTAGGGAGATTGCCTACCACTTTCTCTAGAATATGAAGGGCTTCTTGGCAAGGCAACCAGACAACCACCGCCAAGTTAGGCTTTTCGGGGAAAGAAAACCAGGACCTGGCATGGACAAGATCACAAGAGGTGGAGGGCATGCAGCAAAATCCAGCAGTCACTGATCTATTCTTGGGGGTCAGACCGATGTAGACCTGAGCTTGAAAGTGACTCGGGAGGAATTCCTGGGTAGGGGATGTGTGTGTGAAGGATTCTTGGAAGGATTCTTGGATGTGTGTGTGAAGGATTCCCTTATAGCCATGACAGAAGAGAAAGCGACCTCGACCCCCGCTGCTGTTTTTACTAGCAAATTTTATTGTCCTTCCTTTACGTCCGTGGCAAGGAGTTTTAAGCCTTCCGAAAAATAACCGGCTGGCCCGTATATCCCTCCGGCTTATGTCCCGGGGAAATACAATAGTTTCTGAACCACCTGCGGCCAATGAAATTTTCATCATCATCATCATCATCATCATCATCATCATCATCATCATCATCATCATCATCATCATCATCATCATCATCATCATCATCGCCAAGGCTTCCCAGGTAAGGTTGTGTGAATCCTCCCATCCTGAATAACTGGACCACAGCTGTCACTCCCCTGCTTGCTTTCGTTACCCAGAACGGGGCTGCCCTGGTTGAGTTTATGCGACTAATCCCAAACCGTGCCCTCCTCCTGCACAAGGCAGAGGGGGGGGGGGGCGAGATGCTGTTGCTCCCTTTATACCCTATCAAAGTTCCCAGGCCTCTAACACACGAAAGTGACCCAATTGAGGTGAAAGCACTTTTACAGTGTAATTACAGTAGGACGACAAATTGTTTGCACAAAGCTCCTTCTGGATAAGGGCTTTTTTTTTTTTTTTTTACAATTAGCAAACAGTCCCCACTGTTGAGGCTTGCTGTGAGCAATTGCGCCGTAGCCGTCTCGAGTTGCAATATACCGGCCATAAAAAGACTAACCCGGGCAAGCAATTAATCATCTATTAAAGGGAGGGAAAAGAAACGGGGCAATTCCTCGCTAGCTCCATAACCTCCCGGAGACAATCCTGCGACCTTTTTACTTTTCCACTCCAGCGACCCAAGCTTTTCGACT